AAATAGGGTCAGCCCTCCAAAACACTTCGCATGACGTTTGAAACCGGGTCAAGGCATGCTAATTATGTGATAGTGTTTATTCTTCTAAAAAACTCTCAGTGCAAAATCATATGAAATTCAAGAATCTTGTATTTGAATCCCCTCAAATCAATTTTAATTAGCAAACTTGTCATGCTTCAATGTCCAATCGATTGAACGAATCAAATCTAAGTAGTCTTGCATAGTATGTCACCCAAAAAAATACGAAATTATTTGCAGCTGTCCCGGGAAACATCTTTGTCCTCAATGTCTACTCGTGATGGAATTCCTGTCAAGAGGAAAATTTCCAACAATAGTATGTCTCGAACTAGCAGCCTTGCCAAGAATCTCAACGATGCCAAATCGTAATTTCGTTCGTCCTCCTTTTAAAAAGATTATATACTCAGCAGCATCACGGGTTTTTTTTTTTAAATTTAATCACTTGCTACGTTTTCTGTATAAAACTATTGCTGATTTTTGTTCTCTTGCAAAAGAAAGGAGAACAAGATTGAAATGGATTTATTTTAAACAGATTACGGGAAGGTAACGAAGTGATTCCGCAAACTTTACCGGAATTTGTAAGCAAAGAGCAGTCAAACAATGTGAATTTTGTGTTGTAATCGTCCCCTTAAAAGAAAGTTTTAAGTGTGCTCCATATTCCATCATAACGAAGCGGAAGTGACTAACCCTATGATCCTGCAGAAATGCAATTTTCAAGTGGCCTGCATGAGTTTTACTTGGTCATTTCAAAAAAATTTTATCAGAAACATCATAATATCCAGATGTTACATCGGGGTGACAAATACTTGATACTCTGCTTTTGGTGTCTTGATATGGTTGAAAAATTACATGGAAATGAAAAAAAAACTGTTCTAGTCATATTATAGCACACACATAAAATTGCACTGGGAAAAAAATCGCGCCACTCAGCCGACTCCCTCTTGACAAATTAAACAGCAAAATCTTAGGTGGAGACAAAAGCAATAACTATAATCGCTTGTAAAACAAGAGAAAAATACATATATTTGAGAATGGTTTCAATGAATGTCCAAAGATAATCACACTTCCGGTGTACTTTAACTAATACGAACTGACATTGACCAAATGTTGCAAAAATCTGGTTAGTCTCTTATAAGAATATACGAATGAGACTTCGTAGCGTACATGGCAACCAAATGAAGTTAAACATTGGTTTCCTGCTAATACAACTTGCCAAAAAAATTCGAAACATCTTTCTAAACTTGCGCATAAAGAGTTCTTTTCTTATAAGACCGTGCGTTTCCAATGATATCCTATTTCTATATGGAATACAAATTAACGAGAGAAAAACAGTGTGATTATGGTAATGGTAGGACTGGGAAAGGGATATTTGACTTAAAATTTTTAACGTGCGTGGCTGAATTC